CCCCAAAACCCCAAAACCCCAAAACCCCAATGGCTAATATAGTTAAAATTTATATAAACAGATTAATTTACAAAATTTAATAATAATAAAAAAGATATATAAAATATTTAAAATATAATGAAATAAGATTGATTACTCTGATAATAGTTATCAATATTAATTCTCATCCAAACAAACTAGAATGTCTTTAGATCATAAAAATTCCATTCAGTCACAACTCGAAGATAATAATAGTATTTAGGATTTTTAATACTCTGGAGAGTAGACATACTTTTTGGATACAGAAACCCTAGTTTAGTAAGACTCTGTAAAGCTAAACAAAGTCAGAGAAAGTGTAGCTCAGCAGTACTTTTAAAGAGGAAAATACTCAAATTTCACTTGGATTGGTGATCCCAGAAAAGTCAGGCATCTTGACTAGCGTAGATACCTAATTATTGCTTTGTTTTACACGATCTACTTCCTTAATCTATTTTCTATCTAGTCATTGATAGACCTCAGGAGATATGTAAGAATTTTCAATGTTTAAGATAAATTTAGCAAGAGGAGAGTAAAGAACTCGCCTAAATATCACAATTTGGCTTTATTTTTTGTTTGTATTCTCATACACTGTCAATGGCAATTTTCAGTCTTCCTTGTGCTTACCTTATTGAAAAGATTGGAGTAAATAAAAGTATGACTCTTGCAATAGGTCTAAACTCGATTGGGTTGTGGTTTGGCTATTTAGAATTCTATACTATAGGATTATTTATTGCTTAAATAAGTCAACCTATCAGTGGGAATCTTATAACTAAAATAAGTGCATTATGGTTCGGTCCTAAAGGTAGAGTTCTTGTCATTACTGGAAGTGTAATCTGCTAAACTATTCCATTAATGATGATTGATAAGAGATTAGATTCTTATCTCGGACCATATGGTTTAATGTCGCTAGCTATAATTTGTGCTGTCTTAGTCCCAATAACACTCATTTTGTTTTATGATAAACCTGATTTCGCTCCAACTATCAGTGAAGAAGCAAAAGAGGATAGAACGGTATGCTTTAAGGAGGATTTAGCAAGTATTTTATCAAATAAGTCTTTTCTCTCTTTGGCCATTGCATCCATATTTCTCTTAGTTAATATAAGATTTTTCAACCAAGTCATCAGGAGATTTTTCATGACTAGTTTTGGCATTGGAAAAGAATTAACTTATATGAAACAATTAATATATCTAAGCATGCTATCAGGTGTTTCTACTTTTGGATTTGCCCTCTATAGCACATTAAGCTTATAATTTGGAACTTATTTACTCTCTATTTAGTTTATAGTTAGTAAGTTTATATTCGTATAACTTTTCTTTAGTATTTTTACTTTAAACACTGGCCATTATTCTTTAAAACAACCCTCTATTGGTAATTACTAATATATATGATGCACTGTTCAGAGGTGGAATGATGGTAATCATCTATGAAATAAGTGCTGAATTTTGCTATCCCTACAGTGAAGTCATTGCTATTGCATTCATCAATTCAATTTCATGTTTCATCTAATGGGTAATGATGTTTACAGTTGGAATGTTTGCTTTTCCAACGAATAAATTAGAAACTGAAATAAGACAAACTTACATTATCTACCTAGCATTATTTGCGATAATGACTATATTGCAGCATGTTTTGATTAGAAAAGCAAATTGGATTTAAAAGAGATACAAAGCTGACTCAAGTAAGATTTCAAAATAGAATTATGAACAGACAATATTTTACAGTACAACTAGAAGTACTGAGGGCATTGATTCATCTGCAATACTTACAACGAGATGATTTAATTGATTAGATTTTTTACTTTTACTTTGAATTTTAAGAATATACATTTTCCTATTTTTATATTAATTTATTTGAAAGGGGTTTTGGGGTTTTGGGGTTTTGGGG